CTACATGTTCAAAACGTTCATGACATCTAAGTAATCCGAACATTATTTGAAAAGACCAAGGAATAATCCATTAGGATCCAATCTATCGTTTGTATATTATAAATACACAACCTGTCTGCCAAATATAATTTTGAGTTTGAAGTATGAATAACTTGATTAATTTGCAAAAACTATCCTTGATAAATCACTTTACTACTTTCTTACAGAATAACAACAAGAATAGAGGTCATTTTGTATAAAAAAAAGATCTTTTGGTATTATTGTGGATGACAAAGTTACCCCTGAGTTCATATTTTTCGTTAATATTTCGTACAGGTATATTGCTGCATTACAAAAATTATCAGAAACAACTCCGCGGAAATGTTTGCAGAATTATTCCTGTTTTTCTCACTAAGCTATATTTTTTTTATTATACCTTCATTTTGTCCTTTAATGTAAAACTCCTATATACCTATAATGTGTTCTGAAAGAAAACAACGCTCATAGGAGAATATTCTCAGCAGATATTACATGTATCTCCATCTGTATATAATTGATCGGTGTTATACAATAATAATACATTCCATTAGCCATGATAATCCTAATTTGCTAGTATGCACTATTTATCATGTACAAGTCTAAATACAAACGAAAGCAGTAAATCAATAAGGTAGATCTAATTAATTTATTAAATATTTTAACATTTTGAATTGAACTATTTTCAAGTCAAAACGTTTCATGTTTGTTTATCCTAGCGTTTTTTTTCCAAACAAAAACAAAGCAATCGATATGTCGGAGCATTTAATTTGTAAACCTGTTATTCTCACATGTTGATATTTTCAAAGTCTATAATGGCGTCTAGAAATAAAATCTAACTTATTTCAGACATTGTAAAAAATGTACATTGTCATTTCTTACAAAATGTGCAATCTTTTGAAAAAATATTCTTACTTTGAATTGCCGTTATACTGGCGTCTAGAAAAAAAACTCTAGTTATTGCATACTTTGTAAAAAAATGTACAATGTCGTTTTTCTTAAATTTCTAAAAAAAAAAGAGTTATTTTGAAGAAATGAAATATTTTTCTTACTTTTTGCTGTTTTCATTTCGCGTGATATTGTGTTAACAATGATCCTGTTGGAAACAAAGAAAATAAGTTTTGCCAGTCTTGTTGAAAACTCATAGTCATTTTTGTTTTTCTATAGTCTAAGAAAAATCGATTTGACAGTTTCTGGAGCCTAAATACACGTTGTCAAAACATTTTGTACAACACCATGATAAAATTAAAATTAGTCGCCGAAAAATACGGTATGTTGACATATATGTGATACTAAGTAGGATTTTCTAATTGTACTTGTTTTATTTTAATAAACGAAGATATTAGCTAGTTTTTTTTGTAGGGAAATTACGATGGAGAACAGAAATATTGAAGCTTATTAACTATTATATTACATGTAGTTTGTAAACAAAACACTTTACAAATGTGTTACTACTACTTGCATTATTAATAACCTTTATATAATAAATTTGAAAGGAATTAAATGTATAAATTAAAATATTGATTACCAAAAATGTCTAATCACGAAGAACATATTTCAACTGAAATTTATATCATCGATTTCTGCTTTGAGAATTCAAAAGAAATCAAAGAAGATTTTTACGACAAAGACATATAATATGTTATACATAACAATAGGAAAATATTTATCAAAACATTTTGTTGTATCAAAGTATTTGAATAATGTGAATATATTAATTACAATAAATGTAATGTTAATGTCTTTAATATTTTATAATTTTTTTGTTTTATCCATTGTCGAATCTTTGGTTATGTAAATAATCATTTATGCGTATTAAATTGGTGGAATTGTAAACCTGTTACTTAGTCAATTCTTTTTCAATTCTTGAGAGAAGAAGTTTTACAGACCGACCATATGTCATTTCTGCAATTTGAAACAAACAGAGAACTTACACTTAAATTATTCACGAACATAATACTTCATAACATTCTTTGGATGTAAATTAATTGATATAATTATATCTATAATAAAACTAAAGTCTTGCATATTTTGAGTTATTAGGCAATTTTAGAAAGAGGTTCGTGTCCATTTGTATAAGCAAAATGAAGATGAACATCATTTTATGTCTTAAACAGGAACGTATTCACATTTAGATGACCGCTGTGTCTAATTCGCCATGCTATAATATGCCATTCTTTCTTGACAAAGTGCTTGGTCGTGGCAACTCAATAAACGTATTTATTACAGAGACTACGGGGATATTAATTGGATTACATTCCTTTATTGTTCATATTGCGCTGGTTGACAGACTGTCTTTCCACATAGTTTTCTCTTGATAATATAAACAATATTATCCGGCACGTAGGAGTATAGGTTTAAATATTACAATGCCTATCTTCTATCGTTTCCATTCTTAGGTCAATAGGTATAAGCGACAAAAATTTTGAAAATGTATTTGAATGTCTAATATTGTGAAGTAACCAAAAGGAAGCAATTTACACATTATCAATGGCACTAACAAACTACGTAAATTACCAAAAAGTGGCCGAAATATGCAAAAAAAGCCTTTACTGCGTTGGTAACGCAGTAGAAATATAGTTGAAAATACTGAAAAAATCAGTCATTAATCGCAACATAATATGTAAAATATAACTTTTTACTTTTCCTTATATCTAAGTACATTTTTTCTCAAATTTTATCTTATTGAAATATTTTGACTCATCTGGAGGCATGTAGCTTTAACAGTTGTCTGTTTAATATTGTAACAAATGTATTTTACATATTTTGTTTATCATCAATAAGTCCTCGAAACAGTGTTTTGAAAAATGATTGCATTGTATTTATTTATTATTTCTACATATACGTATATCTAAGAATGTATTCTTATCTAGAATGCGAAGCTCCCCTTATTATAGCCACATGCATACAATTAAAAGCTACATGCCTTCAGATGAGTCAAAATATTTCAAAAAATTAAAATTTGAAAAAAGACGTGAACATAACCATAGTCTTTGAATAACTATCAACTACTAACTTAGTAGAAGAAGTTTATAAGACACTTTGTCGCTCATTTGAATCCTATTTTGTCAAATATTTGAAATGCTTCGTGTTTATTGTAAGCATGTATTTTATACATGATATGTCTAAATTATAAATAATATGTTTAAACAATGAACTTTTTTGTACTAAGGAATCATTCCTTTGAGCAGAGCCTCAATTTTGGTATTTACTAGATTTTCTTGTTCACTACACGTGCTTGATTCGATGTTTACTATTATACTGGTAAAACTACTATAACATTTAAACATTCTTTTAGATTGTTAAGTCTTTTTGGAAATGATTTTATTACTCCGACTCGTTATATAATAATAATAATATCTGTCATATGTTACGGTTCGGACCGGAATATCCGTCCCGAGGTGACCCGCCCATTGGGCGGTAACTAGGCTTGTCGAGTTACCGCCCATGGGCGGGTTACCGAGGGACGGATATTCCGATCCAAATCGCAAACATATGTCAGATATTTTTTCTTGCATATTCTCACAATATTCAATTATAATTTAAATTCTTTATCTTTATTTTCAACGGAAATTTATATCATTACAGCCGTAACTATTTTCTTACAACAGCGTATGAAATTGCAACTTCATTCATAACGGTAAAATGACGTCATCCTTAGCGTGCCATTGTACAGCACGCGACTTATCTGGCACCCCCCATGCCAGATGAAATTTCCGGCATGGGTAAAACACATGGAAACGCCAGTCTGCTATGCAAGAACATATTTTCTCTAGTAACTTAGAATGTGTGATAACATGTCAACATTGATCGTTTCATTGTTGGAACATTACAAAATAAGCCCTGATAGTCTTATGACAATCATATCGCAATAAAATAATTTCTAAGGTCTGATCGATTTTTTCTATTTTCTAAGAACTTAAATACATGCTGCAAAAAACATTTGATCAAATAAGATTCAATTATGGCAAATATGTGATTTAATAGATGCCTCTAATTGTACTTGTTACGGTATCATGAAATAAAAGATAAAACATGTCTTTTTCAGCGAAAAGGAAAATGATGAGGAACAGATCATATAAATAAAGATAATTTATCCTTTATACTTGTTCATAAGCCTTTGATATTTTCAAGAACTGGCACATTAAACAATATGCAGTAGAAACTGTTTGTGAAGCATGAAATGTAAAATAAACATTTATCTTTCTTCACTTGAGATAAACATTAGCTCTCTACGTTAACTGTACAATGTTTATATTACATAAATAATTAGACACACATTGCTTTCTTCAGCTTTGTTTTAAAACGTTTTGTTTAGGTGTAAATGTAATGTATGTAGAAACGTGTTGTAAGGTTGAAAATAAATCTGTGTTAGTTACAATAATTGGATGACTACATGTTTCACTCATTTTATCTTTATTGGTGTAGCTGTATGATTTGTTAACTGTGCTTGTCGTCAATAAAACAATATTAAAAAACAACAGCATAAAAACAAACAAGCAACGTATCAAACACCGTAAAGTTGTGTAACATTTTTAAATCCTGCTGATCATTGCCATGATGTCATTTGATAACTTAACTTGACAGTTTTTCTAAAATTAACATTTGGTATTATTATCAAATTTGTTTCAAAATCTCATCCATATAATAAAGCGTCTTGTTGATTTATTTTATATCCACTTTTTGACAAGATTCGTCCAATAAGAGTAAATTATATTGATTATTTGATGTACTGCACATTTGTATCGTCGCTTTTCATTGGTCAGACGTGATATTATATTGCTATACAAACAACTGCAGTAAAATTATGATTTATTGTAAATTGTAATCAAAGACGAAATTGAGCATTATTGTAAATTCGTAAAGTAAAAAGACTTCAAGTTGGTTATAAGGTCTAGCGGCCGAGGCTTTACAAGCTTACAACTGCTTTAAGATTATTTAACTAATACACTGTAAAGGGATATTGAGTGCTTTCCACGGGTGTACACGAAAAGGAACAAAATCTAAGATCTCTGTTTAAATCGGAAATACAGATTGAATGACAACCTGATGCAGAAGGAGAATACCTTCATTGGTAGAAAGAGAGAGAACGAGTGTGAAGAAGAGTCTCCAGTTTCAGCTGATTTTCCCGATAGTCGGTAATTCTTCGTGAAGAAACGTGTAATTTGTATTTATTTAAGAGTTACGAAGTCATAGCAAGTTTCATTATGGAAAAAAAATAATGTTTGAGGCTTCAAACAAAGTGGATATCTAGAATGATAGCAGTCTAAAAAGGGTTGTCAAGGAGATTATATCCAGCATGAACAATTTGAAGTTCTCTTTATTATGGATACTTTCAGTTTTAACTGTAAGTTACTTTTAGATCATTCATATGTATTATCATTTAATTAAATTTTAAGTTTACCTTGAGTTTGTAAAATATAAGTTTTATAATTTATTGCATTGTCAGTTGTCAGCATTTTTATAATGCATATCCATTTCTTATTCCACATTATAATAAATCAAATTAAAAATAAATAATTTTTAAAAATTGTGAAAATATCTCGCTCAAGACGAAGACTCAACTTTTTTTCAAACATTCAAACTTTATATTTAATGTATTTTATAACATTTTGTAAAAAATGGTGTTGTTAAGTCGTTCTTTTGATAAAAAAGTTCTAAGCCTAATGTTATTACATCGAGCTTCACATTTTTTTAATTTTGATAATAAATTAATTAATTTATTTCTATTTACAAGAGTTAACTTATTTAATTGATATCCAAGCTTACATTATAGATTTGTACATGTAGATTGCAATTGCAACCAAACATCTGTTTGGTAGAACTCCTATAAACAAAATATCATCTCATTTAAGAATTCAGTATAAAATAGCCATATTTGCTCCTACTATACCGAAACATTTCTGACACCAAATTGATTCAACAATTTAAGATTTTTATCTTTGATTTCCTGTCACCAATCACCTTAAAATCAAGTGTGAATTTTCATGTGACAGATTATATGCGTCAACAATTACCCTCCTTTTTTCAATTTCTTGACTCTAGTTTAAAGGATAGGTTATATTCTACAAATGAATATTTGAGATCGAAATGTAAAATTATGAACCGTTATAAAAATCTTGTAAAAAAATTGTAAAATCATACAAAATTCTTAAGTTACCAGATGAAGCACTTACACAAAGTGTGTTATGATTCTGAATAATAACAGTAAAAAAAGCCGACCAATTAAGAATTGCAAGTAAAATATATATTTCAATGTGATATATCTCGTTTCTTTTGTTTATACGGAAGTACACTGTATATAATTTACAAATGTTAAACTTTTACTTGTACCGTCACACACAATACCAACATTTGAGCACAAATAAACTTATAACTCTATATACATTTCAAACTACAAGATTTATTCAGACTGAAATTAAAATTGCATGAAACCGGCAATCAGATAACAAAGAGAAAAACAGACATTTTTATGTAAACACTTTAAAGTTGCGCAACCGTGTGAAGAGCAATTTATGACGGTACTGTCCGTGAATGCATTAGATATTGTTTACATCTTCGAATAATCATGCGGATTGTGTTTATGCTCCACGGTCGCAAGTTTTAACTTGAATAAATATTAACATATGAATCTTGCCTCAGAGATAATGCCTTAGTTTGAATAACAATTATGTCATTAAGACGGATTGGCTCTTAAAATGTCGTCATGACATCTACAATAATGTCAGGAAGACATATTTCTGAGTAATGCTTTTTGTCTACTAATTCTTTTTAAAGATTTAAATGTTTCTTTGATCTCTTGTTTTTTAGAAGACTTTCATGTGACACCTTTACCAAAACACAAATGCCCCGAAACTTTGAAATGACTATCAAGGGACTACTTATAGAAGCCATATCTGTCTTTCATTGTCTTGCCTGTAAGACATTGGTGCGTTGCATAAGAATTGAAATGAATTCAGATATAAACTATATCATGTAATAAAAATAAAAGCCGATTCGTGGTATACCCTTTATAAAGAAAATAGAACACTTAGAAATATTGAAATGTTCCGACAATAAATTTAAGGGCTGAACATTGAGCAATAATATTTGTGAATTTCAGAAAAACGATTGAAATTTAAGCTCTTCTCTTCTTATTCAAATGATATTTTCCGATTTTTCATTTTAACGATTTGTTCACAACGATTTTAATTTTTCTTTTAAGTAAAGTCGTATTTTGAAGCGAAACGTGCGCATAACAATTTTTGTAGATTGGTTTTAATGATTTTAGGCTTTAAATTAAAGTTAATTAAATTCAATTAAATACATAAAAATGGATGCCGCCAGCAGCAGTCATTCTCAACACTCTGAAGAGGTCTGATGACCTCTTCAATAATTACCAATTTGAGAATACATATTTTAAAGGACATTTAAATGTTTTAATATTTTTGTTAATCTCATTCCTGTGTGTATTAAAGAAATGAGAAACTGTATGTTTATCACTTGTAAATATTAACTGTTATTTAACTTATATGATATATATAAGAGTTCTTTTTCAGACCATTTGCTTTACAAGCACATGCAGAAGTAAATTTGGTGTCTACAACCCAGACGACTTCAATAACCATGCGTGTGCTTGGTGCTACTATTTTCTCTTTCCAAATCATGAATTTAAACCTCATGCGAACAACATGAACTTGATTTCCACAGCAAATGGCTCAAGTAATCAAATCAGTAAAGTAGTAGTACCAGATATTTATAACATATCAGCTGTAGAGAGTCTGTGTGAAACTCTAACAGCGGATGAGTGTAACAGGTGGACCTCTTGTTGTTCTGCTGCAAGGACGTGTTGTCAGCGTCAAATCCAATCACCTGATGTAGACATTAATAAAACATGCGCTGCCACGTGGGACGGCTTCGCTTGTTGGGATGCAGGGTCTCCCGGAATTACAAGTGACATATCGTGTCCTAACTTTCTACAATACTCGGTGCCTACAAGTAAGTGATATGTAATATAAATAAGCATATATACAAAGATTTTCATAACAATCAAGTAACCTTATATTCAAATATTGAATTATTTCTTTGAAGACATTTTATCCTTAGTTTCTCAAGAAGTCCTAATTGGGAGTCAGAATCGATGGAATACGTTGCCGTATAATCGCATCTTGTGATATACTAGTATTCTGTTCAGGTTTATACATGATTTTGCAATTAAACTTTAAACATAGATCATATTTCATGTTAGAAACCGATACCTTACAATGCAGAAAACAGATATTCAGGTATGCGCAGATTTTCTTAGATTTTCTTGAATAAACTGAAATAAAAAGGAAATTAAAATATTACACATAGAAATAAAATGAAATAACATGTTTATGTTAACATAAATAAGTTAATGTTTTATTGAATAAACTTACCAATTATTGTATATAGTGATTTTAAACATCTCAATTAGCGTCCAATGAAAGAAATGTGTTAACGAAACACAAGTGGCGAAGCTACTCTGTTTGATTTTGTTTAATGTTAGTCAATGTAAAAAAGCTGTCAATTAAAATGTGTTTTTGCCACTAAGCTTATTAAACAAATGAATATTTAAGAAATATTTTATGCTTAATGCTTAAATTATTAATTCAGAAAATAATAGCAACTTATAATTTATCCAAATTTTTTATCAACACGTATTGATATATTACGAAGTTATTGTATACTGTACAATTCTGTATCATAAATACAGAAAGCTTTAAAGCTTTTATTAAGCCTTTTAACTGAATAGATAAATGATTCAACATAATATACGTATTTAAGATTTCCGGATACAAATTATTTAAGATAGAAATGACCGGTCTGTATTTAAAGCATTCACTCTGTATCAGAATCAATCAGGATCACCTACTCCCGATCCTTCTATCATTTAGGGAACACAGGATTTGGATAGGCCCTTCTAAACATGAGTAAGTAAAAAGTTTTATCTTAATCTATTTTTAAGGATCAGCGTTGAAGACATGCCAGCCTGATGGAACATGGTTAAAGAATGGAAAATATGATTGGACAGACTACACACCTTGTCTTAATTACCAGGTACTTATCCATACATATAAAAGACATAGACAATATAAATCCATTAAATAGAAAAAAAAGACAAACGCCTCCGCTGCTATTGACATTGTTTTACTTACTGGGTTACAGACCAGGAAAAACTAAAACAAAAAATAACATTTTTATATATCACCTTTGTGCAAATAAGAAATGTGGCAAGATCGAATTTATCTTACTTTGACATACCGGTATGTCTAATATATTTATTTTACCACTAATATTATGTTAGACCAAACACTTGAAGAGGATAATATTTTTCATTATGATTTGATATAGGACAGTCTGGTCGAAAATAAGTAAATTATTAAACATTTCAGACCGCAGATTCGTATGTATTTGTCTAGTTTAAGTGCGATTTATAAGCATTTAAGTTTGTATTGAGCGTGTGGTACTCATATGTTGACAAGGCAATGGCTGAAAAGAGAGACTCAATCACACTATTAGCTGTAAGCGAGACATGTTCTTAAGAAATGCATTACTCCCTTTAATATTTGATGCCGAACCATCATTGCATATATGGTTTCAGTGCATTACCGATCCTTTTAACTTGAACGATGGAAAACTTTATACATAAACTTATATTATGTGAAAATGCTTCAATTGATTACGATGATAAGTAAATCGTAAATGTTCTACCTGAAAGTAACACTGTACGTTCAAATAAATGATATTTCAAAGAAAGTTTAAATTCTGATTTAACATATTTGACTTTAAAAATAATGTAATGATAAAGATATTATAAAAAACAACTATTTAATGAAATATATACATTTATATTTCGATCTTCGAGCTGTTCTGTAACAACTGAATTATTTTTATTTCGGAAAATATTTGTACAAAACCATACATATATCATGCGCAACCCGAGGGGATAGAAAGGAATCAGGAAACATTTTAACTGTGTTTAAGTTTTAGTATCTTTATTAGCTTCGTGACTCTCCAGTAGTAAAACATTGTGCTCTGCATCCTTAACAATACGCAAAAGTCATTTATTTGACATTTCAATTCCATTTCCATAAAGAATTTCATGACTTTTTGTCATTCTGTTCTTTTTTCTAATTTCAGGAGCTGAAGATTTCCATATATATTAGTCTTGGATGCCAGATCGTTAGTCTGCTATGTCTGATCCCATCTGTTTTCATCTTCATAAGTTACAAGTAGGTGTCTCCTTTATTCGATTACATCAACCTTTTCACAATGCATTATAAAATTGGTGGCAAAGAGTCTTTTTTTATTGTAAAAGGCAGTGTAAGCCAATGGGACAAGATATTATACATGCTATAATGGCAGTGTTAAGTCGTACGTTGAACGGTTGATAAAGTTTTAAGACTAAGATATGTATCATTTCTGAAAATGGTTTATAGCTGTTCCTTACTACTAATAGGTTTTATGTCAATACTTTTAGCTTTAGAAATTATGAGTTGCTTATTTATTTTATATGTAAGCGTGTCATCTCCAGATGAGGAAGTAAATAAAAAAAAACTTGAAAAAGAATTATATATTTTTGAAATTTAATAAATATAGATATTGACAATCCATATGAGTCATTGAAATCATTTTTATTATAAGATTTTAACGCATTTTCTTATGTAGTAAAAGCTAACTTTACATACTTTGATTTTCTGTTTGGATAGTAAACGCCAACAGCAGAACTTATACGTACAGGCATAATCAAACCAAGCCTGCAACATTATCAATGTTGCCATTTTGAGATTCTGTTTTTCGACACGAGATTAAATATTTTTACTATTTTGAACATTTTCTTACTTTTAACAAAAATTGGAAATACATGTTTTACGAATTTAGAGGTACGTTTCTTTAAATTGTATCAATATTGAAAATTGCATTTTACATTTATAAGCTATAGCTATGAAACCAGCATCAGTTTTACCTTTTGGTGCATCTATTGCAGATCTCTTATCCATCAGCACCGGATTCGGCTACATGTCAATTTCTTTGTCTCTTTAATACTCAGTGGCGTATTTACCATTCTCTGGAATACACTCGTTACCTACGATAGGATAACAAATGACAAAGTTTCTGAAACGATGCTCTTCAAAAATTCTGTAAGTAGTCATGCTCTCCTTATGAAAATTATGTTAAATGGTATCATGGAAGTAATATCAAGAATTTTATAATTCAGACATTTTTCCAGCACTGATGACTTAATTTAGGTTCCCTTCTTAACGGTATGTAGATATGTAGAAGTGTACTAGTATATATACAGGAGACAAATGTAAAAAAAAGTCATTGACTTCTTTCTCAATCCTGTTTCTAAATTATAGTGTGTTTTGTATTTATATGTATATATGAAGGCATGTTATATTGTTTTAAATAATAAATAATATCTAATAAATCAGTCTAAGGTAAGCATCAGTGGGTACAGTCATTCATTTATGTCCTTTACATATTTCATTTTTTTGTAACTTTTGTTTATAAGTATATTCAAATTTTTCTGAAATTTCTCACCTTTACTCCAATTTAATTAACGTTAGGTTGATTCGTTTCTTTTCTTCCAATTACATTACCGTTCTATCAGACTCCCTATAATGCATCCAGTTAATAACATTAATGGGTATTCTATGGAAAACAAAACATTTCGCCAACTAAATCATGTTGTAACATTTACAGATATCGTAAATATTGTGATAATCATAACAATATCTCATCTAGAGTTTTCAGTGATTTATGCCAAACAAAGCACCTCCCTGCAGTACATCATTAGTAAATTGCTATATTTCGTCTGCAATCTTAATATAAGACAACGTATCTTGTCTGTTGTTAAACACAATTAATCGAAAATATACTAGAAATATTGTTTGGTAACGCTCACGTACATTGTTACGTATATGGACGTCATGTTGAGCACTTGCTCTAAAGCAGACTCGTAAAATACTTCAGTACATTAATTCTTATAATACTTTACGTTTGTATAGACGCTTTTCATTGGATAATCGTGACGATTATACAGTTTTATATACACACCTGCTGTCAATTAATGAAGGAATCTCACTTTTCCTGAAAAAAGAGATTAGTTCGTTATTAATATTCTGACAGATTATATGGCCGTATATATACAGTAGTTTGCAATATTACCCTCGCCTATTAAAGTAATAGTTCCCGCTCGTGCCTTAAATACGGAAAGAATGAATGGACACTAGAGGTATTTCTCACTCAGCTGTAAAGTCGTCTTATGACCTTTACATGTCGCTTGTTTTGACTTGAAATCCAACAAAACTAGTATGCTTTTATTACAATATAGCCAACAATAAACAGAAATATATTATTATTATAATTATTACCAAATCATTTTAGGTTGAATACTCTTAACATGGATAAGGCAATGAATTTGGTTCACAGTTGTTTATCTGCCTATGGTTTTCTATAATATAATATAATCTATAATTTAGTCAAATAAGATCGGTTAATCCTAACACTTTTCTTATTCAAACGCACAAGTGGATAATTTAAAATGGTTATCTTAAACGTTTACATGTACTTGTAAGTGTACCAATAAATCATTAAAAATTTGTTTCATTTTTGTTAAAAAGTGTTTCCTTTATATACACAATTCGTCTCATTTGATATTCCATCAGTTTTTGTTAATTTAGACTCTTCTATCATTGTTTACCATCTGCTGACAGTAATTATTTCTTTGTTTTGAGACATATCGATCTGTCACATTCTCCGCCTCCTGCAATGAAGGTTTTTAACGCCTTTATATCCTGGTATTAGATATAAAATCAGTATCTTATGACGTTAAAAATTCATAGATTTTTTATTGTGTAACATTATATGTATCATTAACATCAAATAATTATAATTAAATAGTAAACAACAATTCTTAGTGTGCGCCGCGCGACCAATTTAACTTGTAAAAACGTACTAATAAACTTTAACCTATTCATAGATATACGTACGTGTGACTATATTAAGTGTGACATTATTACCTAGAATATATATGACATCGTAATAATTTGGAAATTCACATGATGTGACACTATGCAATACATAGCTTATGTTTGAACGTTTCATTCTCAGCATATATGTTACATTTGAAATCATAGATTACGTGTGAGAGTATAAGTCATATATTATTTGCAACATTGTTATTCATAGATTAAATATTAATCTTTTATTTGTTTAAGTCTCATTAGCGTTGACTTTATTACACATTTATACTAAATATATTGCACATAGCCATTCTCGGGATGAAACTATAACTATTATGTCAAGACTTATTGTGGAACTGTGTTGCAGGGTTGTGATGAGGGATGCGTTCATTGAATGCCGCCCTTCCTTGCTGCTTTTTGTTTTTTTATATTTTAACAGTGTTACATACAATATTGAGATTAAAGTTAAATATTCCTTGCAAATCCTGAAGAGGCAAGAAATAGCGTTACTTTACAAGGGTCAAACAATAGCATTACATTACAAGGGGCAACACATATAAATAAAAGAAGACAAGAACAAATAAATACACGATTTGAAAAATAGCTGCATAAAACATGTATCCCCATTAAGTTACCAGGGGAGTGAAGATATGCTATATCCAATCAAAATATAGAAGAATGTTTTATAGACACATTTGTTAAAATGGTGTATGTCCGCTAAATAACGCTAATATGACACATTATTTACAATTTCTAAACCTCATTAGAATATTAACGACCATATATTTGTTATCTTTTATATTTAATGAACCTTATTTAACGCCCGTCATCGTCGTATTGTACGAAGGAAGATGAAAATATATAGCTAATTATTTAATCAAATAATCGATAATCACCAGAAATGGACACTCCTTTACGTACATTCATGTAAACAATAATAGATTACCGTCTTTACCTTATTATTTCTAAACACACTTAACATGTGCGGAATACGGTTTTGCTCGATGTTAAATAATAACATCTGCGAATGTTTCTAAATTCAAAATTTAACAATTGTATGTTTAAATGCTGAAATCTGCTTCAGCCGGTGCTAGGGAGCATTGGCTGTAGTCTGCACTCACAAGTCCCGTAGATCTGTTTATGATCACAATCGATCAAATGGATAAAGAAAGCCCAAAACGGCAAAATATTGCAGACTCCATTTGATTGTGCCAATTCATGGATAGTACTGGAAAGTGTAAGCTACGGTCCACGCACCCTAGTACCGACGTAAGCAGTATTCAACATTTAAACATGTAATTGTAAAATTTTGAATTTAGAATCATCCACTGATGTATTTATACGGCGGTGATCATGGAACGTTTAATTTGACACTTTCGTGCCATTCCACTAAAAGCGACATATGGCCCCGTGTTCACAAAGATTTAAGGATCAGGATCAAGATCAGGATCAAATTTAAAAACTCTAATATTCTTCATTGTTTATCCTCAAAGATTAAATATCTAATATTAATTTGATAAAACTAGACTTGCAATAGCAAGTTTATGAAATTTTAAAATAAATTTATTGTTTTTTTGCAAGATACGGGCATTTTACAGTTGATCCAAATATTGATCTTGATCCTAAAATTGATCCTTATTTTGATCTGAAAATTTTTGTATTTGTTTTGTTTTTTGTTGATTTTATCCCAAAATAGTTTGGTTTCTTTGCAAATCAGCAATATTTTACATTTTGAATATATACCATTCAATTCTATGAAAGCATGATTAATTTTAGTAACATAAAACAATGAAAATAAAATCAGGATCACTTAATCCTGATCCTGATCTTTTGTTAGTGAACACGGGGCCTGGTTCTCAAGTAAAAATGCAAACCGAGCCTGCAGAAATTTTAATTTGCCTTTTCGCACGTATTTTAGGGATGCCGTTTTCCTCTTTTTTTCGACTATAGTTTTGTGAAACAGCTCGACGGCTCGTCCTAGTTTCTTGTAAGAAGTAGATTGGTAGTAATTTATTATCCAATATAAAAAGCAAAGTGATCCTAGTCAGTATTTATTCAAATACATCCGTCATATAAACTATATTTGTTGCTAAAAGCTTTTAGGCCATATGATATTTCATAGAATAATATGAAGGCTTCAGATTATTATTCTCCAATATGTCAAGATAATTTTCTACGGAGTGGCATAAGTGTCATATATACTTTATTTTTATTCAGCACAAATGCCTGTAAAATACTCAAACATATATATCGGCAATTTTATTACCATATCGACATTTCCATGAATTACATGTCCATATTTTTTTTTACTAAAAATAGAAAAAATGATGAATTAATTACTATACTTGATATTTCTATTTGGATATTTTCGTAGCGTCACAGAAAACACAATGTTTTGGCAACAAGCCCAACACGGCAAAATTGAAATGTTGCGGGCTCGGTTTGATAGAGCCTGTTCATGGACAGTACTGGAAAGTTCAAGCTACGGTCCACACTGGCTTAAGCAGAATTCAAGAGTTAAACATGAAAATGGTGAAATTTTGAATTCAGAAACCCCTGCAGATATGTTCACAAGGCGGTTATCGTAAATACGTCGATATGATATGGTATTCCAATTTAACCAACGAATGTTAACTACTTATATGTAATTTCGAAGACTTATATTGTTCTGCTTTGGATATAATATACTATGCTTATGTCAGCCTACATTATGTGAATTAAACGAATATAAACGTAAAATGTACATACGTAATTAGTTTACTAATCATTAACAGTTTCTACAAACTAAAAGTGTGCAATTTTGAGATTGATTCATATTGTCATAACTCAATGACATCGTCAAATCAGAAAATCTACCTTCAATCATGTTACCGGAAATATTCGAGAATATTCGGAAATATTCGGAAAAAAGGATTTATCCTTGAGAGCAATTTTAACAAAATTAAAGAGGTGAAAATTGCAGGCTCGTTTCATAAAGGATATTGGAAATTGCTAAATATCCCAACCCCGCCTAGCACCGGTTTTTGCAGTATTCAACCTTTAGGACTCAATGCTCCTTAATGATCAGAAAACTATGACAGCACAGAGATTAAGTACATGGCTATTGTTTACGGCAAACAATTGTTGCAATCACATAATCACACAGCATTTATTGCCTTCTCAAACTGAATTGG